CACGTTAAACATAATGGGATAATTACATTTGTCAATAATAGGAGGATAATAACATAACATTAAAATAATGGGATATTTCCATATAAAAATTGAACAATAATGGGATAATTACATGTGTTAAAGTATATCTCTTAAATATGTGAAAAACTAATAACAAAATAATAGTACAACATGAAAATAATGAGATATTTCCATTTAAAAAATCAAGAAACTTTCCTTGTAATATATAAACCTAACAGAATCTACCACAAAATTATATTTAGATACATCTAATCGTCATTCTATACGTTAGATTGAAACTCTCATTCTATACGTTAGAATGTGAATGCAGTTTAAAAGAACATTTCACTGAAATGGCGTAAATTCAGAAATTCAGAGATTCCTGCTAAAATACTCAAAACGTAGTGTTAGTAAACAACTTGTAATTTAAAAGGACGGTTTTGAAAACAAAAAAATTCAATTCGATTTGTTGGTTTATAGGTTACTTTCCATGCGATTCACAAGAGCATTACTGCAACATAACCAACGAAAGAATGACTGAAAACATACAATGCAACATAAGCATATTCTTTTAATATACTTGTGTACATAGTAGATATACAATTTAAAACTATTGAACAAAATAAAACGTAAATAACAAAAAATTTTTTTTATCATATATAAGTGATCAATAATCAGCATTCATTATAATTTATTTAACAATAAAAACATTTTAAAATTAAGAAACTGAATTTAATATTCAATCCAAAAAGCAAAATTTTATTTTGAAAAATATTATAGTTAATAATATTTAAATACAAACTTAAACAATTCCAAATCATCTATATTTGATTAGTTTTTACTTTAAATATTATTACTTATAAACCAAAAATTCTAAAAATAGGCAGAAATAGAAAAACTATTATTTTTTATACAACTTAGAAATATAAAGTCTAACACAAGTCCAATGAACAACACCACATATATAGGGAGTTTGTATAGCAACCCACTGAAACGATGATTTTCTCTTTGGCGGAGGGATGAACGGTTGGTCGTGGCCACTTTGTTGATAGATCTTTGTGTATCTTAGAGGTGTGTTCATTGTATAGCTAGATGCTGGTGATCAATTCTACGTCTGTAAATTGGTCGAATGAAAAAGAAAAAATTGTGTGTATGAACCTATCATATTTCGTTGCGAAGGGAAAAAACGTCATCTTACCGCATATATAGAAGGGAAGTATTACCTCTATAAAGCAAACTGATAACTATACATTTAGAGTTTTTTGAATTTATGTGGGTTTAAAATAATAATAATCAATTAGAGTTTTTTGATAATACCAAAACGACTAGTATATTGACATTATTCCCAAAATTGTATACCTTATTAATTCTTTCAATCTTTATATTCGCGGGGAGATTTAACAAACATAAATTGACTGTGTTTTTGAGAATTAGTCTCCAATCAATATAGATCAATATATTTAAGGGCAATTACAAAAATATCACTTTTTGTGTGCACATTTGCAAGAATGCCACTTAGGGGTGCCCATTTGCAAAAATGCAACTAATTATAGATTTATAAAGCCTATATCTTAAAATTCTAAACCCTAAAAAATGTTTTGACCCCTAAAACCCCCTAAACCCTCATAACTAAACTCTAATAGAACATAGTTAACCCAAACATAAATGATATAAAGAAAAAATAATTTTGAAAAGTGGCATTTTTGTAAAAATTTCAAAATTGTAAAGTGGCACTTGAAAAGTGGCATTTTTTGAAATTTCTCTATATTTAAACTATATATTTGTAACAAATGAATGCGATTAAAGATACATGATATGAACTATCTTATCTTATTTGATTTATGTATTTTTGAAAAATGAATGGATAAAAAATATTATGTTTTAATTTATTAATAACATAATATTATGTTCACCACAATTATTTTTGGTTTATTTCCTTATTAGTTTTTAATGGATTCTGATATATTTTTCTTTCTCCTCAGGTGTGAGGATCTTCGCCAATCACATAAAAACACAAAACCTAGATCTCTCTGATGAAAAAAATTATATTTTAGAACTACTTTCGTAATCTTTTATATTTCTTTTGTCTTGCAGCAGGTTAAAAACTGATAAGAGGACAAAGAGGCATACCTAATTAATGATGCTTGCAATTAAGGAGATCAATATTTATAAGCAATCCTGGCAATATGTGATTATCATTAGGTTCACATTAACAAATTCTTCACAATCTTCCTTTTCTTAAATCGTAACCTGTCAATTGAAAAATTCAGTACACTAAAAGTGAAGCACAAACCATATGGGTAATAGAAGTAGAGAAAAAGGAATAATTAAAAGATGGAAACAAGCGTTTGGGGCCATTGACGATAAGTTGTGACATTGTGAAAATACTTATACGATTGAGACCATTCTTATTCTTGCTTTGATTTAGAATAGCGTGATGAGGTTTTATCCTCGTCATAGGAGCTTATTTTGCAGTAAATGAACTTGAATCTACAAACCATAAATATGCGTTAACTCACAAGAAATCGAAAAGCAAGCAAATTTACATAAAAACTCCAAATCAAAGGAGATATGATGAAGATACAACTGCTGAATCTTCCAGAAAACACATGCTTTTGGATGTTATGTTCTTCATCTCTGTAGAATTTGCTTTAGAAAAACCAAACAGTTTTGGTTTTGTGGTCATGTATAAAGATGTTATCAATAAAGATGTCTAATTTATAAGTTCCTCTGCTTTGAACAATAACAGCCAAAAGAAGAATAAAAATTGCAGCTCACATACATTAAGTTGTTGAAGTTTGAGTCTCCAATGGTTAAAATATTCTTCCGTACTTGCACATATAAGACCAAAGAAGACTGAAGTAGAACACAAGACTTCCTTTTTTGAGTTTCTTCTGTTAAAGAAGATAAGAGTCTATTCTATGTTGTGAAGCCAGGGAGTAGTGAAGTTATGAAGCCGAAAACAATCGTCTGAATCTCTTTCACTATTCCCCACCATTGATTCCCTTGGTGTCCTGCATCTACGTTTTCATTTGCGTTTGCTTGATTCCCATTATTAGCTTCATTCTCTTGTCCCTCTGCGCAAACAAATAGAAACAAATTGCATTTGCATAAATTGTTGTTGTGATGACTTCAGTTAACAACATGGAAGAGAGATATTGCAAAGTAATAAATACCGGGAACTGCATCTTCGTTTAGTGGCACTGCAGCTGCGGGATCATTATCAGCTCTGGCACCAGGTCTCTGAGGTCGAGGTGGTGGTACCGCTGCTCTATGCATACCTTGTGAGAGCCATCGCACAAACGGTGCAAGAGCTCCAGTTTGGTATCTATCAAATTCCAACACCAAACAGAGGATAAATTACCGTTTTGTTTCTCAACACTTTTGTGCAGAACATATTGATATCAGGGTTTTAACGGGGCTCTAACAACCACCAATTAATCATAGATTTGTTGTCAAATTCAAGCGTCATAGAACTTAAGTTGAAATTAAACCAGATTCTGGAGACTTACAAGTAAATGATGGTAGCAAAAATCACAAGAACAGCGAGCCTTTGTCTTGATCCATCTTGGTTGAACAAAAAGATGACAGCAGCAAGCTTGAGTATGAGAAATAAGTCGAGCTGAAATGCGATCTGAAATCTCCTTTCCACGATTTGCCTTTGCTGTGCAGGTTGCTGACCCTGCCCGGCTTGCCCTTGGTTCTCTCCCCCATTCTCAGTCTCATTACCTTGTCTAGTTCTAAACAACATATAGAAACCATCAACCTAAAAAGATTCAATATCAAGCCTATAGATTTTATTTTACATCATCTGAAGTAATTTGACCAAAATCAATTCTTTAAACTCAACTCTCTAGCCCATGAGCAAAGGGACCAACTTGTTGCACAAACCCTTAAGTTCTTCTATCTAAATCAATCACCTATGAATCTGATTCGACGGAGGAGTTACCCTCGCACACGACTTCTAGGACTCTGACGGAGGAGTTACCCTCGCACACGACTTCTAGTGACCGTCAAGTGGGAAGACTATAGTCGCAATATCATAGCTAGCTATCTCTTGCTTTCTACATCTTTTTTCTCCAACTTGTTATAT